GGAAGTAGATTGCCCAACCTTCCTTCCGAGGTTCCTAATACTAGATAACCTCAGTTTATCTTTTGTCGTAGGCACTGATTCTTTCTTCCAGCAGCTCAAATATGCTGGTGAGCTCCCATAGTGTATTTGCTTTTTCAGTTATTGTACTTTATAACTCCAAACTGCCTACTGATTCTTCTTTTATAGTTTTTATTTCTTTAATGAGACCCTGTATTTTATGAGACATGATTCTCATCTTGATCATTTAAAGTATGTTGTTTAATTCACAAATAATTGAGGGTTTCCTGTATAGCACGGTTACTAATATTAAAAGTTTTAGTGTGGTCACAGAACATACTTGATGTAAAATCAGCCACCATCCTTCAGTCGGTTTGTTGTTCTGCGATGGCTCGAGTGTTGCTGTGCTGCGGCGGTGCCACCAGCATCTCAAATACCAGCCAGGTCACCTGTGGTGGACAGGTTTCAGCAGAGCTTCCAGACTCAGACAGACTGGGAGGAAGAAAGAGGCCAGGTCCATGTCTGAAAAAAATTAGCCACTGAAAGCCTTATGGGCAGCAGGAAAACATTTTCTGACATAGTGCTGGAAGATGAGCCCCTCAGGTTGGAAAGCTCTCAAAATAGGACTGGGGAAGAGCTGCCTCCTCAAAGGAGACTCATCCTGAATGATGTGGATGGAGTAAGCTTTAAGGACCTTCATTTATTGATGTGGCGCAACTCAAAATGAGAAGAAACAGCTATAAACATCAATTAATAATCGGAGAGGGGAATGTACAGAGTATGAATCTAGGAAAATTGGAAGTTGTAAAAAGGAAATGGAACTCATAAAGATTGATATCATAGGCATTAGTCAACTAATGACTAATATTGGCCATTTTGAATTGGACAATCATATTGTCTACTATGCTGGGAATGACAAATTAAAGAGGAATGACATTGCAGTCATCATCAAAAAGAACATTTCAAGATCTATTCTGAAGAACAATGCTATCGGTGATAGGATAGTATCCATACACCTGCAAGGTATACCAGTTAATACTACTATTGTTATTCAAATTTAAGCATCAACCACTAAAGCCACAGAAGAAGAAATTTCAGATTTTTACCAACATCTGCAATCTGAAATTGACCACACATGCAATCAAGATGTATTGTTAATTACTGGTGATTGGAATGTGAAAGTTGAAAACAAAAAGGAAGCATCAAGGAAATTATGGCCTTGGTGATAGAAATGATGCTGGAGACTGCATAATAAAATTTTGCATGACCAGTGACTTATTCATTGTAAATACCTTTTTAAACAACTTAAATGGTGACTATACATGTGGACCTTACCAGATGGAATACACAGGAATCAAATCAACTACATCTATGTTCCTTTAATATACTATTGAATGCTATCTTGTTAAAATCTTTATACCCATATTCGTAAGTGGAATGGCTTATTTTTGTGTTTGTACTTGTATTTGTGTATTTATTGGTGTATGTCTTTGAGGTTTAATATCACCATCAACAACGGGCACCATCCTAGCATCTAAAGATTGTAGAGAAAATCTAAGTGTGCAGCTTCAAGCCATGCGAATAAATTTGAAATCTCTCCAGTGGCAACTATTTACAGCTTACCCCCAGTTTATAGCTTATTGTTTCTTAAATGAACACCTAAGGCAGGTGTTTCAAAGTCCAAGTTTATGAACCTAGGCACTGTGATGACTCTGTATATTAACTTAATCTCTTTTATGTATTCTCTGTATCCAAAGTATCTAAGTTCTTCTTTCTATACTTTTATAAAAGGAATGAATCTTTCATTTGTTTTCAATAGTTCAAGGCAGCAGCCAATAATACCATATAAATGATTAACTATTGTTAAGCAGAAACCTCTCAAATTGTGATATCCTTGCTAAAAACAAACTCCTACTAAAACTCAGCAAAGTGTATCTGATGTGGGATTTTACAAATTGCTTGTTATGTGTTTTATAGATGTTGGCATTTTGGAAGAAGGAGCTGGGGACACAGAGGGGCTTGTGGAGACGGACCAAGTCCTCTCTTCACTTAATGAGATGAAAGCCACAATAGGTGGCGTGGCTCTCTGGGGAAAGCAAGTCTGTGCAATTGCAAAGGTTCGCTTATTAAAGTTAAAGTA